ATCAATTCCGGCGACTTCTGTGCGCCCCGCCCGCTACTACAGCAAGGCAGAACAGTGGACACGACCCTTCCGCTGTGCCGCATTCTCCACCCGATCTCCCCTGAATGGATTGATCGGTTGCTGTGACACCCTCACCAGTGTCTCCAGCGGCAGCAGACTGCTATACGCAAGCACTGCCGAACGTACTACGAAGAGAGTTGGTGTCTTGGAATGCACCAAACCCACCTGCAGCAGGGACCTCCACATCCCGCACCAGGGCGCCTTCCGCCCGGCCTACTGCTGCTCTCTCCTCCAGCAGTGTCGCCCTCCCTGACGACCACCGCAGGATACAGCTCTCGGTGGCTGCTCGGCGGAACCCCCAATTCCGCCGCACCCGCGGCGCCCTCTTGCAGCGCCGCCGACCCCTCCTCGCCTTGCCCTTCCGACTCGGCCTGCAGTAGCGATGGCAGCATGCCCATCATCTCCTGCACCTCTGTCATCTCTACTCGTTCAGTTACTGCTCCGTTCCAGTCAGAAAGCGTCCAGTTCAGAGTTGCGTACCCTGGCTGCTGGAACCCCGCTGCCTCTCGCTTGGCATAGCCCGCACCGTCTTGCGGATCCTCCCGGGAGGACGAACGCTAGCGTGTTCGTGAGCCCTAGCCCTGTTAAGGGCCGGCGGACTTGGGGCTGCTGTTTAACTGTGTGTATTAGCTCGCATGAGAGAGGAGAGAGGGAGAAGGAGGAGAGGCCCCAATTCTCGAGAGAACACGGGGACTCCGCACTATCATCCAAAGCCTCTCAGCACATACCCTTCAAGTTGTCCCAGCTGCGTCCTCCGTAACGGCTACTTTTCGACTATCTACTTCTACGCACGAGCANGGGGCATAGGAGGTGGGTTGAAAAGGCGGGAAGGGATATCGTTAGGATAGACAGACTAGGGAAGACATTTTTGAGCCTCCTTTGGCAAAGTAGAAAGGAACGATTGGCCATCGGTGATCGGTCCGGTGGGAACAATGCTCCGTCCTCTCTAGGACGCGTGGTCAATGGTCTAACCGCTAAGGCATGCAAAACATTAGAGTACGCCCCCTCCAACGCTGCACCATTGCACCAACCCCCCACTAGTGATGACGTACCAATACAATGTATCGCTGGTTGGTGGCCATGTTTGCGTGTTTGCTTGTCGCTGGTGGTCTCTCCACCGTGTGCCTTCTTCTGTCTCTTATTTCTTGTTATTTTCGGCCTAGTCCCTCTTTGTCCTCGCTTTTTTTATTTCATTTTCTCTTTCCTCACCATGTTCCCTTTTATCTTCTTTTCTTGTTCTCTTTTTCTCTCGTTTTCTGTGCCAGATGGCCTTGTCTCTGCTTGCGTTGTGAAATACCAAGATTGAACCAAGGGGGTGTACCTCATTCTCTCCGGCCCGTGATGGTGACTCCTAGTCTCAGTTGTTACCTCGCATAGCACGCAGAGGGAATGGAGAACTCCAGAATATCTATCGTTGATTTCTGTTGACTTGCCAACCCCTCGCGGCCATTATTTGAGGTTACCTTTTGNGTTGTTACCTCGCATAGCGCGCAGAGGGAGTGGAGGACTCCAGAATAGCTGTCCTTGATTTCTATTGACTTGCGGACCCCTCGGGGCCAGTGTATTTGAGCGTACCTTTTTAGGGAAAGTTGGCCTGCGACCACGGGAATCGACCGCGTCGAGTGTTGGATCAGTACGGACATACGAAGGTACTGGGTAGGGAGAGATCGGAACGGTTTTTAATGTGAAGACAACAATAACATCAACAATCTTTGGGAATGGGAAAGCCGCGGTTACAACATGACCCAACTACACGTATGATATCTGTTGGCACATGCAGCCTTGCGAGGCATTGCTTGTGAGGGGGGGGAGGGGATTCAATGTTCCGGTTCGCGTGGGGGGGTGTATATAGGAATTAGACTAGCTGGAAACCCCTGCCTCGTTCAAAAAATTGGTCTCGCCGCAGCCTTCAGACCACTCTTTCTAGCGTACCACGGGAGAAGCCGGCGACGTGCTGGCCCAAACAACCGGTAAGTACTGATCAATGCATCGTGGAGGTGCCCTCCGTGACTGCTGTTCGCTTTTTTATTGCGTGGTCAGAGAGTTTCGTGGCGATGTTGCTCTGCTGTGAGTTCTGCACGCCTGGATTCGGCAGGAAACAGGAACCCCACTAAGCGCGCTTAGCCTCTACTGCAGCCCACACACTGCAACCTTGACACATAGGCGCGTGTATGCGTTCAGTATGAGTGTAGGCATCCGTCAAGGATGGCGGGATGCGCATGTCGGGGAACTGGAGGTCTTTCGTGTGCCCCCGAAAATAGGTCTCCCGAACCGCCCGCAAACCGTTACACGAGTGCACAAGGCCCAACTACAACTCGGACCACACATATCGCGCACTGCCTCCAGCAGTGAAGGGCAGCAGTCCTATGTCGACCCAGTCTCACAGCCGAGTTTCACGGCGTAACTGCTTGAAATGGTGAAATGCTTGTGGTGTCAAACATGACCCGCACAGCAACGGGTTTCCACTGTATGTACTGGCGTTTTCTCTCTGTTTAGTCGAGTGCATTTTATGGTAACGGCACCAATCGCTAGCACTGAGTGAGAGCTTTCCTACGATACCTTCATCGGTCAAGGTTGATGCCAAATACGAAAGTTACGGCGTTTTCCGTACTGCCCCTGCGACGAGCCCCACAAAGCCGCTATTAATAGGGATTTAGTATAGGCGTGCGAACAATTTCAGCGGTGTGCCGCATGAGACGGTGAGAGTGCCATACACACCACTCACCTGACCGGTCTTTGTCCTACCTTTGCCAACACTTACCCAACACCCGCCTAGGACACGCCCCGTCATCCGGGGCGATTTTTTGTGGCGCTTTCTGTGTCCATGTAGTGTTTGGTAAGCTGGAGCACATATCTTGCCTGAACGTGGGCAAGAAAGCACTAGCTCACGCCGGAAGCATGCCCACGGGAAGGGCAAACGTTCGTAACGGTCATATTTACTGCCGTTAGGGCCCCTGATGACACCGCCCCGATGGCCCCGCCTTGTTTTGTGTGTGTGCGCTGTATTTTCCGACGCTTCTTGCACAGTCATGTCGCAGGACGGCCGTCTGCTCTGCGTCTCAGAATTGCGCGAGGGGCTGGGCCG